TTCATCAGGGCCAGGAGACTTGTCTACCTTTAGCCCCATTAGCTTGCCCAGCACTGCCTCCTTAGTGATAATGATAGTTTCTAGGTCCTCACCTGCTATAACCTTCTTGCCATTAGTTTTCGGCATGTTATTTGTGTCTTCCGCTGTGAAGACCGACACGAAATAACTGTTTAATGTCTCGGCTATTTCCTCATTCCCAGTTATTAAATTGGCCTTCTCATCCTCTAAAGGACCAATGTTTACCTTCGCCACTCTTTTATGATTTACATGTTTATAGAAACTTTTGCTGCCTGTTTTTATATTCTGAGCTAGTTTACTCTCATAATCTATCTTACTTTACTTTATAACTTTTTTTGTGGCTTTCTGTTGGCCTTTAAAGATTTCCCAGTCTACTAGTTTCCCACTACTCTTTGCTTTTTTGTATGTGTTTTTTTTTCCAATCTGATACTTTCCGTTATTTCCGTAGACATCCATGGCTGGCTCTCTCTTTTCCTACAGTTCTTCCTTATCACTGGAATATATTTCTGCTAAGCACTGGGAAAAATTGTTTTGAAAGTCCTCCACTGTTCCTCAATTGACCCACCATAAAGTTTTTGCTTCCATTTTACCCTAGCTAACTCCTCCCTCATTCCTTCATAGTCTCCTTTGTTTAAGCACAGGTCATAGGTACTGGATTTAACCTTCTCACGCTCCATCTGTATTTTAAATTCGACCATAACGTGATCGCTCCTTCCGAGAAGATCCCTAACTGTGAGATCATTAATTATTCCTGTCTCATTACACAGGACTAGATCTAGGATAGCTTGCTCCCTTGTAGGTTCCATTACATATTGTTCAAGGAAATTATCGCGGATGCATTCTATGAACCCCTCCTCAAGGCTGCCATGACCGACCTGGTTTGACCAATTGATATGTAGATTAAAATCCCCCATGATAATTGCTGTACCATTTTTACATGCATTAGCTATTTATGTTTATTGCCCGCCCCACCACGGTGTCATTATTTGGTGGCCTATAGACCACACCTACCAGTGACTTCTTCTCCCTGCTATTCCTAATTTCCACCCAAATGGATTCAACATTTTGTTCAGTAGAACCTATATCATCTCTCACTACTGCCCTGATATCATCCTTAAAAATCAGAGCAACACCACCTCCCTTACCTTCCTGTCTGTCCTTCCGAACAGTTTGATACCCCTGGATATTTAACTCCCAGTCATGACCATCCTGTAATGGCCACTAAATCATACCCATTTACCATGATTTGCACCGTCAACTCATCCACCTTGTTTCGAATGCTCCGAGCATTCAGATAAAGTGCCCTTATGCCAGTTTTTGCACCTTCTTTTTGGGTCCTATTACCTCCATTACTAACAGCTCTTGAGTTCTCCTTCCCTTTAACTTTTTTGCTGATTTTCAATGGAGTTGAAGCTTCCTCGTCACCTGCTAACCTGCTGCTTTGCCTTACATTAATAGTTATTCTCCATCTACGCTCACTTCTCCCTTCCCACCTACTTACTAGTTTAAAGTCCTATTAACCACCCTATTTACCCTTTTCGCCAGAACACTGGACCCAGCTCTGTTCAGGTGGAGTCCATCCCAGCGGTATAGATCCCTCCTGTCCCAGAACTGATGCCAGTGCCCCATGAAAAGGAAACCCTCTTTCCCACACCACTCTTTTAGCCACCCTCCCTCTGCCAATTTGCACGTGGCTCGGGCAGCAATCCAGAGATTATGACCCTTGAAGACCTGTTTTTTTAATTTTGTTCCTAGCTTTTCATAATCCCGAAACAGGTCTTTTTTCCTAGTCCTGCCTATGTTGTTGGTACCTACGTGGACCACAACAACTGGATCCTCCCCCTCCTTCTCTAGTATCTTCTCAAGCCGGTCAGAGATGTCTCGCACCCCGGCACCGGGCAGGCAACACACCATGCGGGATTCTCTATCCTGCTCACAAAGGATACTGTCTAGCCCCCTGATGATGGAATCCCCTACAACTACAATCTGTCTTTTTGCTCCGCCCGCTTCAATGGCCTCCTGGACCATGGTGCCTTGGTCATTTGACTCATCCTTCCTGCAGCCCTGTTCCTCATCCACGCAGGGAGCAAGTGCCTCATACCTGTGGGACAATGTCAAGGGCTGCGGCTCCTGTGTTCCTGTCTGCAGGGTCCCTCTACCTGCCTCACTCGCAGTCACACACTGCTGTCCCTGCCTGCCAATCGAATTAACATTAGTTAATCTACCAGGCGTGACTGCCTCCTGGAACACAGTATCCAGGTATTTCTCCCCTTCCCGGATGAGCAACACTTAATGCATATCTTGATAGACACACAAATGGGAGGCAAACAGAGGGATAGAAACTGCGCATAGGAATAAGTAGCGGGTCTAAATAAGGAATAGAATCGGGGCAGGCTTGGTCAGCTGAAAGGCCTGTTCCTGTGTGTATGTATTTATTGTATTTGTATATAATTTTGTTGACTCTTAACTACCCTCTGAAAACCAGTCAGTTCAAGGTCAGTTAGAGATGAGCAATAAATGCTGGCCTTGCCAGTGACACTCACATCCTGTGACAGAATAAAAGAAAGAAAGTTCCATAGATTAATGACTCTTGAAGAAAATGTCTCTAATTTTGAAGTGTTCCTAAGTTCAAGTCTTTCCAGGAAGGGTAAACTCTCTCGGCACTAACAGGGAGACAGGTTTAAAGTAAAATCTAAATTCAGAGTCAGATTTGTTGTTAAAATGTATAAATATAAATATTTCAACATAAATATAAAAAAGAAAAAAAATACAAAAATCAGGAAATAAGTTACTCGTCTGGTGTCACACCTGTCTATCTCTTCAAGCTTCTCGTCAATGATTGGTCCCATTTGTTGACAGACATCTGGAAATAAAGATTTAAGTCAGGTTATTTATCAAAACTGAACAAAGAACAACAAAGTAGGTCACATCAGTTATTTCAACCTCATGACATTAGGAGTTTGAATATGTATAGTAAGAGAAAAGCAAACACTAGGCCAGTTCATAACTTTAGCTCACAATTATGTATAGACAGACCCAAATTTTATTAACATCCCAAAAAAGAAGAGGTGAATCCAACTGTACTCAATCATCCAATACACCGAGAAATCTCATACCCAATCTATCCACGAGACAGAGCAATGTGGTTCTCAGCCTAGCCATTGTACAGAGAAACTTCATTCACACGGAGTTTGTACATCATGAACCGCTCATGCGGCAGTTGATAACACTGGATAGAATTGTTTTATTTAGTCTTCATTTCAGAAGGTTCAATATTTCAGATTGCAACACCACAGATAAATGATAAGCTGTTCAAACAGTTGCAATATGGTAAAGTCTACTTTGGAACAAGCCATTATTTGGTCCTAGGGCTGACACAACTAAAGGGACCCACAGTCTAATCAATCATATAGTCCTTCTCACTAATAACCTTTCATATCTTGTGCCAAAATTAAAAGTTCTGTCCCAGACAGTGGTCAAACAACAGCCTGACATCATACTCAGAATCATGTGTCATGACCAATATGCCAGACTCCTCCATCACCGTTCCTGATTATGTCTTAATGCATCACTGGAGGTAGTGGCACAGCATACACAGTGGAAGTTTGGACTCTGGACATCTCCAGGTTTGCCTTGATGGCAGGAAAATAAACTTGCTACTGAAAATCAACTACCACCCTCCCTCAGCTGAAGAATCAGTAGTCTTCCATGTTGAACACCTCTTGGAAGAAACTCCAAGGGCACAGAAAGTAATCTGGATGGAAGGCTTCAATGTCAATCACCAAGAATAGCTTGAGGGTACAAGTACAGACTGGTGATCAGCAAAAGGACAGCAGCCCTAAGGAAAAGCACTTTCATGCCATGAGTGGTTAAGATTTGTAGTGTGTTGTCTGGTAAGGTGGTGGATAAAGACTCAAGAATAGCATTCAAAAAAGAAACTCAGTAAAAAATCTGAAGTTTTAAAAAAAAAAAGTGCACGGAGTTGGGGAAAGAGCAGGAGAATGGGATCAGTTCTTCGATGGAGCTGGTGCAAATCTGATTGATCAAGCAACCTTCTTCTACACTGCACTATTTCATGATTCCATTAAATGAGGAACAAGAAGAAAAGGATTTCATTTCTGGACTGCATTTACAAATAACAAAACCAGAGATGTTCATATAAAAGCAAAACACTGTGCATGATGGAAATATAAACGAAAAACATAAAGTACTGGAGAAACCGAGCAGGTCTGGCAGCATCTGCAGAGAAGAAACAAATTTAAGGTTTCCAGTCTGATCTGACAGTTCCTCAGCAGTTCTGAAGGGCAGTTTTTGACCTCGAAACATTAAGTCCATTCTTCTCTCCACAAATGCTGCCAGATGTACTGGGTTTCTCCAGCTTTTATCTCATTAATGGTCATGGTCGAACGCTGGTTACCTTCTAGATGTAGCAGTTCTGCTGAGTCAGGCTGCTGGTCAGTGGGAATTGCATTTTGAAGCAACTGCAAAACCTGGTCCATCTTTTCCTGTTTTAAAAAAGAACTGATACAATTAATTTTTGAAAAGTTATATCATTAAAAACAATAACAAGTGCAGGAATCCTGAATTCAGTTTTTAAAACAGACCTACATGGATAGATATTGAATCTTTTTGGGGTTCTGATACCCGGCCACCCCACCAACATGTAGTGAATTGTGAGGATGATAGTGAGTGATTTCAGACAGACATTGACAAGTTGGCCAAATGGGCAGACAGGCAACTGAATGGCAATGCAGAGAAATGTGAGGTAATGCATTTTGCAAGAAGAAACACTGACAGACAATCCAGGCTCAATGGTAAAAATTTGAGGGGAGTACAGCAGAGGGATCTCGGGGTTCATGTACATAACTCTCTGAAGTGAGCAGGCAAGTTGCCGGTCACACCACATTCGGAGTATTGTGCTCAGTACTGGGCATTTTATTTAAGGAAGGATGTTAAAGCCCTGGACAGCGTGCAAAAGAGATTTACTAGAATGATACCAGGAAAGATTACAGAAATTGTGCTTATTCTCCTTGGAGCAGAGATTAAGCAGTGACCTTACTGAGGTGTTTAAAATTCTGAACAGTTTTGATAGGGTAAGGAATGTGCTGTCTGGGACAGCAGTGCAGGTGAATTCCACAGGAGGTTTCAAAAGAGAGCGGGATATATATTTGAAAGTGATGAATTTAGAGGGCTATGGAGTTAGGGCTGAAGAATGGGGCCAACTGGCTAGATCTTTCATCAGTCAATAGACATGATGGGTCGAATGGCCTCCTTCTGGGCCGTAAGCTCTAAATTCTATCCAGTACAATAGGATTCTTGCGGCACATAAATGGAAGAAAGGGACACTGGACTTGAAACATTAACTCTACTTTCTCTCCACAGATGCTGCCAGGCCTGCTGAATTTTTCTACCAATTTCTGCTTTTGTTTCAGATTTCCAGCATCGATAGTTCTTTGATTTCTCTGGACATTGCCTTGGCCAAGGAACCAGTGAACAGCTATCATCTACTTTGTCCATTTGAAACAGATGCAATATACGTATACGTTCTTTGTGTCTACAAAAGGCCATGTATTAAACACCAAAGGAGGTGGTGGCCATAAACAGGATGCTGCTGTCACCACACAAATGAGCATTGGTACATGAACTTCCGTGTCAATGCAACACCACGCATGTAAGCTACAAGTCCCAGGAACTGGCTGACCATATCAAACAGCATATCCCTTTGGCTGTTCATGATAAAAAAGGTTAGAGCCACATGTAATCAGTTCAGGATTGCAAAATCACAAGAGTATCCAACACTAGATGTGATTCTGCAACTGGACATTAGGTGGATAATCCTAAGTATATGAAGAATTAATTGACAACCAATTTAGGATGGTCAGTCAGGCTCGCAGTATGGCGCAGCTGTATGCACTGGAAGCTACATATATTAATATAGAGAAGACAGAGAACAGGCCCACATACTGTACCTATTTAAACTCAAAAAAATAGGTGGCAATCATTTGGTGATTCATTTCTCAATGCAATGTCATAAGCAGAGTCAACCAGCCTGGTTTAAAATTTAAACAACACCCATTCGGTTAACTGTCACTCAGCATAACAGGTGCATTCTCCATGGGAACACTTTAATGAGTCAGACACCATCTGCCAACCAATCAGCATTCTCCTTTGCGTTTTGGGTTTTCCCCTTAAATTTGTGCTTGTGAATGGTCTGGAGTCCAAGATCAAAAGCTTTTACAAAGTGCACCTTTTCTCAGCAATACTCAGTGAAATGAGGTTGCCCATTCAATTTCTGACAGATTTTATTTTGAATTTATTCTTATAAAATAGGGTGAAGTAACACTGATGTTGGTCAATCTGTTTAAGCAAGGTAGCATCCAGTAAAATAATAGTCTTAAGGCCTACTAATTTCTCTCTCAGATTTGTGATTTTACTTAGCTAGCAGTGCATCATTATTATGAATATTGTTGTAAGAATCTCCAGGATATTATTTCCTTCTTTCAAAAAAAAAGTGAAATTCTTATCAATAACCTCATACTGTTGTGAAGGGAGTTGACTACATTATGTATCCCAGAGTTGAAACAATGGACGCAATGGTGATCGTTCTGCAGCATTCTATAGACTCTGGAAGAATTCCAATGGACTCAAGGGTTGCGAATGTAACCCTACTTTCTAAAAAAGGAGGGAGAGAGAAAACAGGGAATTACAGATTTATTAGCCAGATTTTGGTGGTGGGGAAAATACTGGAGACAATTATTAAGGATGTAATAACTGAGCATTTGGAAAGTGGTGACAGGATTGGTCCAAGTCAGCATGGATTCTCTAAAGGGAAATCATGCTTGACAAATCTTATGGATTTTTTTTTTTTTTGAGTATGCGACCAGTAGAGTGGACAAGTAGACGTTGTGTATCTTGACATTCAAAAGGCTTTTGACAAGGTCCCACACAAGAGATTAGGAAGCAAAGTTAAAGTTCATGGTATTGGAAGTAATGTAATGATGTGAATAAAGAACTGGTTGGCAGAGTGGGGATAAAAAGGTCCTTTTCAGAGTGGCAGGCAGTGATGAGTGGGTTACCGCAGGGTTGAGTGCTGGGACCCCAGCTGTTCACGATACACATTAACAATCTGAAATTCTGATGGAACTGAACAGGCTAGATGCAGGAAGAACTAGGGGTCACAGTCTAAGAATAAGGGGTAAGTCATTCAGGACTGAGATGAGGAAGAATTTCTTCACTCAGAGTTATGAACCTATGGAATTCTTTACCACAGAAAGCTGCTGGGGCCAGTTCATTAGATATATTCAAGAGAGAGCTGGACACGGCCCTTACTGCTAAAGGGATCAAGGAATATGGAGAGAAATCGCGAGTGAGATATTGAAATTACATGATCAGCCATGATCATATCAAATGGTGGTGCAGGCTCGAAGGGCCGAAATGACCTACTCCTGCACCTATTTTCTATGTTTCTTTGTTTCTATTATATTATAAAATATTATATTATATTATATTATAAAACTTTGTTTTTTTTGGTAAGAAATGCAGATTGCTTTAGGTTGTTAGTTAAACTCATTTTTCTGTATCAATTTCATCTACTTTGAAGCTTGTTCCTTCACATTTTAGCATGCAGATTAATTACCAAGTTATTTACTACTGTACTTCACTTTGTAATCTGAAATATCTTTTGGTTTAATCTCGATAATTATCAAAGCTGAAAATGTATTTAGTTAAAGTCCAACTTGGCATCTGACGCTTGACTGAACAAAAAAAGAACTTGCATGTATGTAGTACATTGAACCACATGTGGAAGTGACCAAGTGAGATTGAGGGTGGAGAGCGTCAAGTTCCACAGTGACAACAGCCAACAACCTATCCTAGAATTCCCAAGTAGATGCGACAGTCAAGAAGGCACAACAACACCTCTTCTTCAGGAAATCTGGCATGTCCATAAGGATCCTCACCAACTTCTACAGAAAGCACACTGTCCAGGTACGTAACGGCTTGGAATGGCAACTGCTCTGCCGAAGTTTGTTAGAAACTACAGAAGGTGGTGTGCACAGCCCAGACCATCACAGAAGCCAACCTTGTATCCATGGATTCCATTTACACAGCTTGCTTCTATGGAAAGGCTGCCAACATCATCCAAGACCTATTGCGCACTGGTAATGGTCTCCTACAACCTCTTCCGTCAGGCAAAAGACACAGAAACCTGAACACACCGGCAGGTTCAGGAACAGCTTCTTCCCAGTTGTTATTAGACTGATGAATGGACTTGTTGAGGTTGGTTGGCTCACCGAGCTGGTTTCTTGTTTCGCGGACGTTTCGTTACCATGCTGGGTAACATCCTCAGTGCAGCCTCCGATGAAGCGTCGGTGTGTATTCATCAGGTCTTCATCGGAGGCTGCACTGAGGATGTTACACAGCATGGTAACGAAACGTCCGCGAAACAAGAAACCAGCTCGGCGAACCAACCAACCTCAACACCCATAACCCGAGCTACAAATCTACTCCAAAACCTTGATGAATGGACTCTCTAGCCTCAAATGATGCTGACGTTGCTAATGTTGATTTTGCCTGTTGTGCAATGTAACCCGTATGCCTTTAAGTCATATTGATCTGTAAATCCTTGCTTACTATGATCTGCCTGTACTGCTTGTAAACAAAGCTTTACACTGTACTTTGGTACACATGACAATAAATCAATCACTCAATCAAAAGTTTGAAATAGGAGGTAAGCTTTCAGGACCTTTATAAAAGGCGAGGGAGATAGGAAGGCAGAGGACCCCAGAGAAGGCATTTCATTGTTTGAAGCCCAAGCAGCCAAAGGTACATTTGTCAATGGTGTTGTAAAGGGATATTATGGATGTGCAAGCGGCTACGATTGGTGGAGTGCAGAGCATCCTGATAATGACCATCATCCAGGCTAACCCCAGGAAAAATGGGCCAGTTGGGTTAAATACTGGAGATCTATTAACATCTAGGTAGGCTCTATGCTCTAAGGGGAGGAGAAGAGAGAAAATGGCGAAGAGAGAAAGCCAATAAATGTTGAAAGTGAACAAAATCCACATACCTCATCTATATAAACTGGCTCAGGCTCCGAAGGCTGAATATCTTGTACAGATGTCTCCTCTGTCACGACAATCTTCTCTGTAGTTAATGGAAAACAAACAGATCCTCATAAGTAATTTCATATGTTCCTTTTCAGTGCATATCCAATCACACTATTCCAGATCTTTAATGCTGCTTCTATTACAACTCCCTGATCCTTACATAAATTGATATGAATCACAGGGTAGGATATTTGTATTGAAAGCTGCAGTAACAGGACAGGAAGCTAAAGCTGTGCGCATTTCTGTATTCAAAAGGGTACTTATATGAGCAGAGATACACAGCAAAGAACGAATAGTTACAAAGTTTTCTTCCTCATCAGTCAGGCACTGATGCATAGTGAGTCAGGCAGTGGCACTGACTCTACAGTTCCTCAAAACAACTGGCTCAGATTCAATGGGTCAAATGGCCTCCTTCTGTGGTGTCCTACTTTTTGGGAGGAAATTACTGCAGATGCTGGAATCTGTACTGAAAACAAAAAGTGCTGGAAGTCACAGCAGTTCGGGCAGCTCTGATTAAGAGTCATCTAGACTCAAAACGGTACATTGCTCTCTCCACGGATGCTACCTGACCTGCTGTCATTTCCAGCATTTTTTTGTTTTCAGACATGCCCTCTTCTATGCTCCTCCCATTCATTAGCCAAAGTAGTGATACAACACTAATAATACTTCATTACCCTTGCAAATTATTCACCTTGAAAGGACAAAGATTCAAAAAACAGAATCTCTTGAAGTTGCAAATCTGGAACCATCTCAAATTATAAACACTTAATTTTTCCCCACTGCAGCCCAAAATGTACAAGAACCTGAACGACCAGTAACAAACACACAAAGGCAAATTCCATGTGTAGGTTGTTAACTGAATGATGTTGCACTGCCTAAAAGGGAACAGGTTGGAGGGGGAGGCAGGAAAAAAAAATTCTACTCGAGCAGGAACTATTTTGTCATTTATCCGCTATATTTATCAAGTACTGTCACATACTTCTTGTAGAAAAAAATTATTCTAAACACCATTTAAAATTTTCTGGGGCAATAAATAAGGGGTAGGTGATGGTCCAGTTGTATTTCGCTAGATTAATCCAGAAACTCAGCTAATGTTCTGGGGACCCAAGTTCGAATCCCACCATCCATGGTAGATGGCGGAATTTGAAGTCAATAATAAAAAAAAATTCTGGAATTAAGAATCTACTGATCACCATGAAATCACTGTAGATTGTCAGAAAAACCCATCTGGTTCACTCATGTCCTTCAGGGAAGGAAATCTACCATCCTCGCCTGGTCTGGCCTATACAGGATTCCAGACCCACAGCAATGTGGTTGACTCTCAATTGCCCTCTAAAATGGCCTAGCAAGCCAGTCAGTTGTATCAACTGCTGCCAAGTACAATTGTACCGAGTCTTGAACAAATGAAACCAGACTGATCACCTAGCATCGACCTAAGCCTAAAAAGACAACCCTGCAAAGTCCTCCTCGTTAACATCTGGGGGGTTCGTGCCAAAAATTGGAAGAACTGACTTACAGACAAGTTAAGCAACAGCTTAACACAGTCATACTCACAGAATCATACCTTATAGACAATATCCCAGACACCACCATCACCATCCCTGGATATGTCCTGTCCAGTTGGCAGGACAGACCCAGCAGAGGTGGCGGCACACTGGTATACAGGCAGGAGGGAGTTGCTCTGGAAGTCCTCAATATGGACTCTGGACCCGATGAAGTCTCATGGTTTCAGGTTAAACATGGGCAAGGAAACCTCCTGCTGATTACCACATACCATCCTCCCTCAGCTGATGAATTGGTACTTCTCCCATGTTGAGCAACATTTGGAGGAAGCACTGAGGATGGCAAGGGCACAAAATGTACGCTGGGTGGGGGATTTCAACGTCCACCACCAAGAGTGGCTGGGCAGTAGCAGTACTGATTGAGCTGCTAAGGTCCTAAAGGACATAGCTGCTAGACTGGGTCTGCAGCAGGTGGTGAGGGAACCAATGAGAGAAAAAACATACTTGACTTCATCCTTACCAATCTGCCAGGTGCAGTTGCATCTGTCCATGAAAACATCGGTAAAAATGACCACCGCGCAGTCCTTTTGGAGACAAAATCCCGCCTTCGCATTGAGAAGAAACTCCATCGTGTTGTGTGGCACTATCAGCGTGCTAAATGGGAGACTTCGCACAGATCAAGCAACTCAAGACTGGGTATCCATGGGGCACTGTGGGCCATCAACAGCAGCAGTATTGTACTCCAGCACAATCTGTACCTGCATGGCCTAGTATATCCCCCACTCAACCATTACTATCAAGCCAGGGGATCAACCCTGGTTCAATGGAGAGTGCAGGAGGGCATGCCAGGAGCAGCACCAGGCATCCCTGAAGATGAGGTATCAACCTGGTAAAGCCACCAAACAGGATTACTTGCATGCCAAACAGCGAAAGCAGCAAGTGATAAACAGAGCTAAGCGATCCCAAAACAAACAGATCAGATCTAAGCTCTGCAGTCCTGCCACATCCAGTCATGAATGGCGGTGGACAATTAAACAACTCACTGGAGGAGGCAGCTCCACAAATATCGCCATCCTCAAAGATGGAAGAGCCCAGCACATCAGGGCAAAAGATAAGGCTGAAGCATTCGCAGCTATCTTCAGCCAGAAGTGCCAAGTGGATGATCCATCTTGGCCTCCTCCAGCAGTCCCCAGCATTACAGAGATCAGTCTTCAGCCAATTTGATTCACTCCACGAGATATCAAGAAATGGTTGGAGACACTGGATACTGCAAAGGCAACTGGCCCTAACAACATTCCATACTGAAGACCTGTGCTCCAGAACTTGCCACTCCCCTAGCCAAGCTGTTCCAGTACAGTTACCATATGGGATCTAATTGACAATGTGGAAAATTGCCCAAGTATGTCCTGTACACGAAAAGCAGGACAAATCCAACGCGGCCAATTACCGCCCCGTCAGTCTACTTTCGCCAATCAGTAAAGTGATGGAAGGTGTCATCAACAGTGCTATCAAGCAGCACCTGCTCAGCAATAAACTGCTCCATGATGCACAGTTTGGGTTCTGCCAGGACCACTTAGCGCCTGACCTCATTATAGCTTTGGTTCAAACATGGACAAAAGAGCTGAACTCCAGAGGTGAGAGTGACAGCCCTTGACCTCAAGGCTGCATTCAACCGGATGTGCCATCAAGGATCCCTAGCAAAGTTAGAATCAATGGGTATCAGGAGGCAAACTCTCTGGTGGTTAGGGTCATACCTGACACATAGTAAGATTGTCGTCATTGTTGGATGTCGGTTATCTCAGGTCCAGGACATCTCTGCAGGAATTCCTCAGGATATTGTCCTTGGCCCAACCATCTTCAGCTGCTTCAATGACCTTCCTCCATCATAAGGTCAGAAGTGGGGATGTTCACTGATGATTGCACAACGTTCAGCACTATTTGCAATTCCTCTGCTACTGAAGCAGTCCATGTTCAAATGCAACAAGATCTGGACATTATCCAGGCTTGGGCTGACAAGCAACATTTGTGCCAACAAATGCCCAGCTATGACCATCACCAATAAGAGATGGTCTTACCATTGCCCCTTGGCATTTAACGGTGTTACCATCACTGAATCCCCTACTATCAACATCCTGGGGGTTTATCATTGACCAGAAACTCAACTGGGCTCACCACATAAAGTGGCTAAGAGAGCAGTCAGAAGCTAGGAATACTGCAGTGAATAACTCACCTTCTGACTCCTCAAAGCCTGTTCACCACCTACAAGGCACAAGTCTTGAGTGTGATGGAATACTCCCCTCTTGCCTGATGAGTGCAGCCCTAGCAACACTCAAGAAGCTTGACACCATCCAGGACAAAGCAGCTTGCTTGACTGGCACTACATCCACAAGCATCCACTCCCTCCACCCCCGATGCTCAGTAGTAGCAGTGTGTACTATCTACAAGATTCACTGCAGAAATTCGAAGATCCTCAGACAGCACCTTCCAAACTCACGACCATTTCCATCTAGAAGGACAAGGGCAGCAGATATATGGGAACATTATCTTCAAGTTTTCCTCCAAGTCACTCACCATCTGACTTGAAATATATCACCGTTCCTTGACTGTTGCAGGGTCAAAATCCTGGAATTCCCTCCCTAATAGCATTGTGGGTCAACCCACAATGGACCGGTGGACTGCAGCAGTTCAAGAAGGCAGCTCACCACCACGTTCTCAAGGGCAACTAGGGACGAGCAATAAATGCTGGCCAACCAGCAACGCCCAGTGTCCCAGAAATGAATTTAAAAAACCTCATTCCAAAGTAAATATTGTCCTGCACACACAATATTGCAGGAATAAAGTGCATGGGAGCAGGAACTAGTTATTTACACAGAACCTCAAGCAGCTGCTTTGGATAACCAAAGGGGATAGTTACAATCTGGTCGCTGTGTAATTAAGGAATAGTTAGAAACTCCAACCCAAGGGGTGCAGGATTGGTGCTCTGAGCTGATGTGAACATAACAGACTGGACAGTTGTCATGTTCATCCAAACCTATCCTGTGACTGTTGGTACTGAACAGCTTCCTCTGTCCTCCAATGTAATTCACACAAACTGCGCCCATCTACTAGAAGCTGTGTCACTTACTCCAGTACTACTTGCAAGGCAAACACAGAAGTGGGACGTGCAGGGAAAGGGGGAGAGGAAAGTTACTAGGCAGTAATCCAACTACTGGCATGAGTTGACACCATAAGTTACGAGCAAAGCTGGAGCTGCTTGTCAAGTTATCAGCAACAGTACTGATTAAACTGTTATTTGGAATTCTGTCCAATGTTCTGCCAAACGTACACACAGACTACAACTTTCTTTGCCGTTTAGTTTAAGTATGAAACAAGTACAAACAAAGGATGTCATGACATTTCACACCACTCGGACCAAAACTCAAAAGAATATTTCCCAAAACCAGAATGACTTTAGAAACTTAGGTATCAGTCACTAACATGACATTTCTTAAAACTAAAGTAGAAAATATTGGAAATAAAAGGGCCTGGCAATGTCCATGGAGGGAGGAACAGAGTTAGCGTTTCAGGTTGATGACCTTATAATCAGAACTTGGATGACTCAGTTTGTCGACCCAAAACTTCTAACTTCTGTCTCTTTCTCTATCTCTATCTCTACAGATACAGCCTGGCCTGCTGACCCTGCAGCATTTTCTGTTTCTCTTTCAGATTTCCAGCATCATAATATTTTGCTTCCGTACTGCATTTCACGAGATAGTTACAATGATGGCATTGACGATGCTAAAACTGACCTGAACATGACAAGTTTAGGCAAGTGAAAAATCATGTGACTCCTACCAACTGAAGATATAGCTGCATGAAGGTACAAGCAATAAATTAGGAAGGCAAATGCCATTTTGGCTTTTATCACAAGGGAAATGATTTAAGGGAACAAAAGAGTATTGCTACAATTGCACAGGGTGTTGGTGATATCACATCTGGCAAACTGTGTACAGCTTTCGTCTCCAACTTTGAAAGAATATACTTGCGTTAGAGATGGTACAGTGAAGGCTCAATGGATTGCGCCCTAGGATGACAGAATCTCCCAACCTTGAGAGGCTGAGGAAACCGGGGTCTATATTCTCTAGAGTTTACAAGAATGAAAGGTAATCTCATTGAAGTTTAAAAGATTCTAAAGAAGCTTGATAAGATAGATTGTTTCCACTAGTCAGGGAATCTCAAACATAGGGGCAGTCTCAGGATGGGAGGAACAATTTGGACTGAGATGAAGAGAAATTATTTCACTCAAAAGGGTTGTGTATCTTTGAAACTCCCTAACAATAGCATTGTGAATGCTCCATCATTGAATACATTGACAGAAGGGCAGAGGGAGCAGGGGGAGGGGGAGGGGAACACAGAGAAAGAGAAAGCAAGGGAAGCAAAGCAGGCGAGAAACAGATAGCAAGTAAGTCAGGGAAACAGAAAGCTGGCACGAAAGAAAGAAAGAAATAAAACAATGTCTCCGAGTCTGTGTTGAACACATGACCTGTCTTAATTACAGCAGCAGGATAGATAGACCGTGACCTATTTCTGTTGCTATTTTTTGTGCATCCTTGCCACATTCAACAGCAACTTTTTTTTTGTATTCATTCATGGGATGTGGGTGTCATTGGCTCGGCTGGCATTTATTGTCCTTGAACCGAGCAGCTTTCATCAGAGCTGAGAGTCTACAGTCACATGTAGGCCAGGCAGATATCCTTCCCCAAAGTAGTATAGTGCTCCTTAAGTATGAAACTTTGAGGCCCTTTCAAGCATCAGACAAAATGTAACACACAAGATGTCAGGACTGATGTTCAAAAAGACAGTTTTTAAAAGGAACATCTTACATAATGAGAGGGGATGCAGTGATTTAGGGACAAGATTCCGGAGTTTAGCCAATGGTACAGCCATCAGTGGTGGATCAATTAAAACTGGTTATTATCAAGAGGCCAGGGTAGGATGAGCAGGTGGTTATGTGACTAGGAAAAGGCAATGTTCTGGACTGGGGAAATGAAGACTTAAAATAAAAAAGAAAAATTCTCATAACAAGGTGTAGAGCTGGATGAACACAGCAGGCCAAGCAGCATCAGAGGACCACCTTGTTATCTCAGAAAAATTCTCATCCTGTATTTTCAAAAGGAAGGAAACGGCATTGTGTCAGCAGGAGTCAACATATACCAGCAAGCACAGGGGTGAGGGATGCATGGGACTTGTGTGTTTGGAAAAGAAGCAGAGATATTTTGGAACAGTACAAGTTTACAGGCAATTGCATGTTGATTGTGTCCGTTTTTAAGGAAGGAAATAGGGCAATATCACAGCTAAGCATGAGGCAAAGGGCCATCCGATCGTAACTAGGAGTGGAAACTCCATCCTTTTTGCCCCTGCTTCCTTACAGCGGTTATGCATTGGTCAATTATTGCATTTTTGTCCCCCACCCCAGTTGGTTTACTTAGAAAACAAACAACAGATTCCTGCACCATTCCTGATCCAACTGTCTCAGGATAAGCCTTCAACCATTTCAGACTTAGATAAGAAAATAATTTCTTAACTCAAGAGTTGAGCAACTTAGGATTTCAGAGTATATTTAACACTCAGTGATAAGATTTTTGAGCACTAAGAAAATTAATAGATGTGACAATAGGGCATGAAAGTGGAGGTGAGAAGATCAGCCATTAACTTCCAGAAAGGCATGGCAGGCTTGCAGGGAGTATATGGCCTATTCCTAATTCTTACAATTCCAAGGGTTTTATCTTCACTACTTTCAGGTAAGTTTTTTCAATACCTTTAGCATAAAAGAAATCGCTGAAATCGAAGCACCCATCACACACAAATTTCTCAGTACAAGCAGTCTTTCAGTGAGGTTTCACTGTGTTATCTTAACCATAGGAGCAGCACTCATTGCCAACTGTTAATCAGTACATCACACTGTCCTCCACATAAAGCATTTGAAGACACCAAACAACTGTCTTAACACAACAAGTTGGTTTCACTTACCAGGCTCAGGCTCTGCATTCAGACTGGTCGATACAAAGTTTGAAGGAAAAAGTCCAACTCCTCTTTTCGTCTCTCCTCTCCACCAGTTGGGGTCACTAAACAAGATAGCAAGACGTACTATAACCTCTTAAGTCTGGATATCAGGACGTTTTTGTTACAATAGCTATACTTGTGTGTTATATTTTATTGAAACCATAATTCAGCTTCTGCACTGTTAAGATATGAAACTTAAATACAAATCATATTAAAATACATACTTTTTTGAATTTGAACTGGTGGCACATGGGTTTGTGTGTGTCTAAGGGGAGTTGAATGATTAATTTCTAAGTATTTCTTCTAAAACACAATGCAAGAGAAATACTTCTTGAATTGGGTTTTTCTTTACACTGGGAGAATTTTATGAGAACACAAGGTAAATAGCTTTCAGATAGAAGGTTCTGAATTTTTTTTTGGGCCGAGTTATACAGCTTTTTCTTTTCAGTTTGGCACACTTCTGCAGGGTTCTTAGCTGAAGCTGATGTGTAAAGCTACTGTGCCTCAGAAAGCGAGGTAGTTTTAGATTGTCTACCTCTGAGAAGACTCCCTTTCACTAATGCCTTCCTGTGCTGCTTTCTCAGGCATTCAGATCACAACAGTGCATTTCACCTCCTTCTGAGACACCACAGACTATTAAGAGTCAACTGCTTCTGGGACCTAGGCTAATATACTCCATTACACCACAAACTCTGCCGCTAGTTCATATCTAAGGGATGTTTCGACCCTGGAGGTAAGAATCTGTGATTAGTGGCTTCAATGCCTCAGCCCTTATGAGTTTGTGAACAATCACTTGTGATATCTTCCCTCCTCCTCTTCTGCTCGAGTACAAGATCACAGTTAAGCAAACTTAACTGGACAGCTCTAAGGCCGACACGAGGGGACAAATGACCTCCTTTTGGTTCTGTACAATTTTGCAGAACTGCTAACTTGCTGGGAAGGATCCACACAGGTGCAATTTGATACTGGGAACTTGACCCCAACTTCAAGGGGGGGGGGGGAAAAAAAAAGACATCAACAAGCTTGACAAATTGATTCATTTCCAACCTACCTGTCATCTAAAATAGTGATAATTTCTCCAGCTTTAAAAGTAAGCTCGTTGTCTTCTACAGCCTCAAAGTCATAAAGGGCACGAACCATGCGTATTTCAGTTCTGTGGCTGTTTGGAGCACTTTCTGTTGATGGGTACAGGGACTTAGTTTCTGTCTGTTGCTGTTTCTGCTCCTGCAAGGAAAGCTCAATAGCTGGAAAGCCAACAGAAATATTCTGATTATTTTGTGACACGTGACCTGCTACTCCACTGAGCTTTTTCTTAAAAAAAATCATCCTCGAAAACGAACTCAATTAATTACAGAGATAACAAGGTGTAGAGCTGGATGAACACAGCAGGCCAAGCAGCATCATAGGAGCAGGAAGGCTGACGTTTCGGGCCTAGACCTTTCATCAGAAATTAATTACACCTTTGTTTAGTTAAAGCAATTTTCTGTAATAGCACCTCATACCATATTAACAATTTTGTATTGTACATACTAAGTTCATAGTGGAAAGGGATATACTGCACACACCTTTCCCACCATAAATACCTTGTTATTCATATTTTTGATAGGGAATTGTCCATGTAAATATGTCGCAGTGTAATTACATCCTCCCAACCAGTGGAGGTACTGCAGCACTTCAACTGAATGTAGGTCAGGCTTCTCCAAAGTAAAGGTTGGGACCCCAAGTAGGATCACAAACTAAAATGTTGGGATCCAAGCTCCAAGGCAGTGACTGAAAACTTCCAGCCCAATGTTTTAAAAGGTCATAGAGTCATAGAATCCCTACAGTGTGGAAACAGGCCCTTCGGCCCAACAAGTCCACACCGAAACTCAGAGCATCCCACCCAGACCCATCCCCCTATAACCCACCTAATCTACACCTCCCTGAACACTATGGGCAATTTAGCATGGCCAATCCACCTAACCTGCACTTCTTTGGACTGCGGGAGGAAACTGGAGCACCCGGAGGAAACCCACGCAGACACGGGGAGAATGTGCAAACTCCACACAGACAGTCGCCCAAGGCTGGAATCGAACCCGGGTCCCTGGCGCTGTGAGGCAGCAGTGCTAACCAAAGTGCCACCGTGCCGCCCCAGTATCTCCACCAGTAGTCCCCATTCCCTCACCAAGAGATCACAACAACTACCTACCAAACCTCAAAATGGGCTCACAGTGGGATCAGGTTTGGGAAGCACTTGGGTAGATAAATATAGCATGTAAAGCTTACACAATTTGCATCATAAGTGGGATCAAAAAGATTTATTAGCCACATATGTAAAAACAAAGACATAGTGCACAATTTTAAAGTTTTGACTGAATTACATTTTTTGATCTCATCAGTCTTTGAAACTAATTTCTCAAGAGCAACTGGATAACTATTTTGCTTAATTTGAAAGCACACTGAGATGTCCTACAGCTCTTGTTGAACGTAGAGAGGGTTCGACTGCTATGGCACATGCCAGCTTTTGGAGGATGTAGCGTTATTGCTAGTTGAAGTGCAACAGAAAAATAACACCATCTCAGGACCCTAATGCTGGTCCCTGTTGCAAAGCACTTCCTTCAGACAACAGGACTGTTGTCACACTCTCACTGAGCTCTCAACAAGGCTCTTCATGCTTTCCCACCTGGGTAAAGATATACCCCTCTATCTTGAAAAGACTGAAGGGGCTATGCACACAAATCACTGAAATGCAGTATTCAGGCATATAAAAAAATCCAAAAGGCTCATGGAACACTGTCTGGAAGGCTAGTATATAAAAGGGAAGTTTGAGTATGTTTAAGGTAGATATTGATATATTTTTGAATATAACTGAACAGGGTTACAGGGATGAGGTGAGTAAAAAACATTGAAGTGTTTGATCGTCCATGATTATATTGAATGGTGCGGCAGAGTTCTGTTTCTACGTTCCTTTGTTTCATTAAAGCTAAACAAAGCCCAAGTTAGACCAAGCCTAGATCCCAGCACAAACATGACAGGTCAAATGGCCACTTTCTGTGTATTGCTTTTCTATGCCTCTGTGAAGTGCAGTGTTCAATTCTGAGAACACAACTTCACAGACATATTCCTTGAATACAGAGTCACTAGAATGTTGCCAGAGCTCAAAGGGTTAAATTATGAGAGATGGATTGACATAAACTGATCTCGTGTTCCTTGCAGTTCAGATTTTTAGGATTCTGAATGGAGGCAATTAGAGAGAAATATTTTCCACTTGTGGAGGAATTGAAGGCAAGTAGACTCTGGAAATTAGAGCCAGGTCATTCAAGAAAGAAATTAGGAAATATGGCTCCATGCAAAGAGTGGTAAAAGTGTAGAGAATCATAGTGTGGAACTCTTTTCAACAAAAAGCAGTAGGTGCAAGTTGTATTAATAACTCTCAATCTTAGATCAATAGATTTTAGCAAGCCAAGGGTACTAACAGACACAGAGCCAAGGTGTGCTTCCTGACCATCGAACCCAAAGTGTAATTCCATGTAGAACCATTCTGTCATGAAGTGGGTTTGAATCCAAGTCAGATTTGGACACAACTCCCAGAGCAGACTGGCTCAGTGTGTAGCAGCTCAAGGTAAAAACAAAATTACTGGAAATACTCAGCAGATCAGACAACATCTGTCCAAACAGAGTTAGCATTTCAAGACAAGGTGATGATTCACCAGAACTATTCTGTATCAGGTGTGGTCCAACTCCAAAACAATTCCTATCATTCACATATGAACTGCATAAGGAAATTTCAGCAGCTTATTTAAAACATGGGGAGCATCCTGTGCACATTTCCACATCTGATCCCTAGGAATCAGAAACCCAACTGATTTCTAAGGTCTTCCACACCTCTCTTCCTCCACCCCCGACCTCACCACTGCCAATCCCCACCACCTTTTGTATGTGTTCCACTAACCAGACAGATAAAAAGGTGGGGCAAAAACAAGTCGTCACTGGTTTAAATTGGCACACAGTTACTCGCTGGATTAACTCTCAAATAGAGACAGTAGCACTAAAACAGTAAATCTTTCAATAATCAGGTTTCTGTCTCTTCCCCATTTTGTCCGCCAATATGGAGTCAAATCCTGACCTTTATTTTTTAGAAACAAACTTGGAATCAAGTTCTGACATGCTTATGTAAAAATACACAGCCCACAAATTATAAAAATGCAAAATAGTCACATTATGATCTTATTCCTTACCTTTAGCTAGGTCAACATCTTCAGTACTTCTACTTGCTGCTGTTATGCTGTCTTTAGATGAATTTGAAGTGCTCTGGCTCTGTTTAAAAGAAATTGAACACTTGTATTTCGCCAAAATACACTTTGTGTCAATCCAACTGGAATCCCCCTGTTGGCCTTTGTTTCAAAGGGAATGGAGCATAAAATGAAGGAGGTTTTGCTAAAACTGTACAAGGCTTTAGTCAGACCACAGCTGGAATACTGAACAATTTTGGGTCCCTTATCTAAAAGGCATTAGAGGAAGTCCAGAGAAGGTTGACAAGGTTTATTCCAAGTATGGTGGGAATGTCTTACAAGGGCAGTTTGAGTAGATTGAACTTGTATTCACTGGAGTTCAGAAGGCGACCTTGTTGAAATATACACAAGTCTAAAGGAACTTGACAGAGCGAATATGGAAAGGCAGTTTCCGTCTGTGGGACAATCTAGAGTCAGAGGACATAATCTCAGAATAAGGAGTCGCATATTCAAGGAAGAGAGGAGGAGGGGGGATTTCTTCTCTCAGAGGGTAAGAAATCTGTGGAATTCTTTACTACAGAGGACTATTGAGGCTAGGTTACTCAGTATAGACAGATTTTTATTCAGAAAGGGTTTCAGGAGTTATGGGGACAAAGGTAGGAAAGTGGAGCTGAGGATTATCAGATCAACCACGATCTCACTGAATGGTGGAGCAGACTCAATTGCATGAATGGCCTACTTCTATTCCTAAGAATTATGGTCTTTGGATAGGAAGGTTTTTGTTCTATAGCGAGGAAAATTTTGGAAATTTTAGCAGAGAGGGAGCACAATTGATGCATGAATCCATACTGCAACATTTTATTTTCATATTCCTGTCCTTCACAATACCTTTCTCTCTCACTAGTCAACAATTTACATTTTATTCAGCCTTTCTCCACAACCTCACCAAATCTTATTATTTAGTTTCCACTGAATAAGCATGATGGGTATTGCAATGTACATTTTAGTACATCTGTGTGTTTTTAAAAATTATTTCTTTATAAGATATCTAACAATGACAGGTCAAAATATAGAAGGAAGATAAAGGGCTTGCTGACGTGGTGCAATGAAAACAACTTGTCTCAACGTCGGCAAAACTAAAGAACTGATCACTAACTTCAGCAAGAAATGAGGAGGACACGCCCCCATCTACATCAACAGAACTGAGGTTGAAAGGGTGGCGAGCGTCAAGTTCCTTGGAATGACGATAACGGACAACCTGTCCCAGACTTTCCACGCAGATGCAACAGTCAAGGCGGCACAACAACGCCTCTTCTTCTTCAGGTGGCTCAGGAAATTTGGCATGTCCATAAGGACCCTCACCAACTTCTACAGATGCACCATTAAAAACATACTGTCCAGGTGCATAACAGCCCAGTACGGCAACTGTTCTGCCCAGGACCGTAATAAATTACAGAAGGTGGTGTGCACAGCCCAGACCATCACGGAAGCCAACCTTCCATTTACACAGCTCACTGCCGCGGAAAGGCTGCCAACGCTATCAAAGACCCATCATACGCCACAATGATCTCCTACAACCTCTGCTATCAGGCAGAAGATACAGAAGCCCGAACACATACACAAGCAGATTCAGGAACAGCTGCTTCCCAGATGTTATTAGACCGATGTATTTGAGGCTAGAGAGTCCATTCAGTCAGTTCTGCTATAACGTGCGTACTGGCAACACGAATTTACTATAATGTGACTGACAAATCGGGGACACTATTTCTAAAATGCGAACTTGTGTTAGCTATAACGCGATTCCATCAGCGCACAGAGGAGTATGCGTCCCATAGTAAAAAAAAAAATTGATGAAGGTGGCTACAATTTTGATCAAATTTTCAATGTGGATGAGACAGGTTTATACAGGAAGCGAATGCCATCAAACTACATTTCTATGAATGAAGCACACGCTCCAGGCTTAAAGGTGGCAAAGGATCGTATGAGAGTGCTGCTGGGTGCCAATGCCAGTGGAGACTCAAAGCTTAAGCATGTGGTGGTGTACCATTCTGCCAACTCAAGCCTCGAAAGGTAACCTTAAGTCTACTCTCGGCATCAACTTTAGGTCAAGCAAAAGAGGTTGAATGACGGGGCAATATTTTTCTGACCTTATTGTTGATGTTTTAGAAGATGTTTTTAGAAAGTACTGCAGGAAAAAAAAAATTATTTCAAGATTCTTCTCATCTGTATAATGCACCAAGCCATCTTCCCACCATTGGTGAGCTTTCTGAAAACATCAAAGTGCTATTTCTACCCCGAAACACAACCTCTCCCCTTCAACCCATGGACCAGGATGCAATAGCAGCTTTTAAAGCTTATTGTTTAAGGTGCACATTTAAGAGGCTGATTGCAGCCACTGAGGGGGATAAGGACACTGTTCTTCAATTTTGGAAGAGCTTTAACATCAAGAATGTAATTGATATTATCGTGGAGGCCTGGAGTGATGTCAGTAAGGACTGCTTGCATGCAGTTTGGCAGAAACTTCTAGATTTTTTTTTCCAAGATTTTAAAGGCTTTGATCCAGCAGGGAAGCTCCCAAGAATCAAAGAACATTGTGTTGATTTTGCAAAGCAAGTTGGATTTGAAGAAGTGGAGAGAGAGAGGATATTGAAGAGCTGCTGGAGTCCTTCTGTGAAAACCTCTCCACCGCTGAGAGGTAAGTGAAAACTGGAGATGAAGATGAAGTCCAGGATGCAGCACTACAACAGCTTTCCGCTTTTGTTTTGTCTTCTATCTTGAGGGAAATTGACAAGCAGTTGCAGCTCTTAGAGGACAATGATTACAATGCAGAACGCAGCAGGATAGCAATTTGTGGAATAAGATCTTATTTGGCACGCTATGAACAGCTTCTTTAAGAAAGAAGCAAAAGAGCAATGATGCAAAAACTGTATATTGTTTCTTTGGGGGTTGGCTTAAAAACAGTCAGAAGACAATGAACCACAACCATCCACTTCAGGATTAACTATTTTTTTCCCAAGGTAAGGTGTTAAATTTACTTTTATTTCATTATTAGACATGAATTCAACATTTATTCAAACTGTGCTATCCTTTGTATTAGACTTTTGAGTGATTTTTTTGGTGATCTGCCCCTAACCCTGCTTTTCCAATCGGCCCTGTTATTTCTGTAGCACAATTTTCTAAAAAGCGATGTTGCACAGGAATGCAACTATCGCGTTATAGCGGAACCAACTGAAATGCTGATCTTGCTAAGTGCACGGCTTGTGCAAAGTAACCTGTATGCTTCTAAGACTTTTTGCTCTGTACTTCCTTGCTTACTATGATCTGCCTGCACGGCTCATAAACAAAACTCTTCACTGTACTTTGGTACATGTAACAATAAATTAATCACTACTGCCTATTGCCCATCCCCAATTGCCCTTAAGTAGCAGTCAGTGAGCTGCCTTCTTGAATCGCTGTGGTCCTTGCATTGTAGGAACACCCACAGTGCTGCTAGGAACAGAGTTTACAGATTTTAACCCAGGGACAGACAGGGAACGGCAATATATTTCCAAGTCAGAATGGTGCGTGGCTTGGAGAGGAATTTGCAAGTGGTGATATTCCCATGCATCAACTACCCTTGTCCTTCTAGGTGGGAGAAGTCACAGGATTTAGAAGGTGCTGTCGAAGGAGTCTTGGTGAGTTACTGCGCTGCTTCTTGCAGATGGTACAATGCTACTGCGTGGTGGTGGTGAAAGGAATGAATCTTGATGGTGGATGGGGTACAAACAAGTTGTTTTATCCTGTATGTTTTAAAGTTTCTCAAGTGCTGTTGGAGCTACACTCATTAGGGCATATGGAAAATATTGCATCATATTCCTCACTTGTATCTTGTGCCTTGGGCAGGCAATGATGAGACTGGAGATGTGTTACTTGCCTCAGAATTGCTAGCCTCTGACCTGCTCTTGTCACCTCTGGGAGACAATGGCATAGCAATAATGTCACTAGACTAGTCGTCCAGAGCTCCAGTTAATTTTCCAGGTTCAAATCCCACAATGGCAAATGGGGAAACTTGAATTTAATATAAATCTAAATTAAAAGCTAGCCTAATGGTCGCTGCATAACCACTGTTGATTTTTGTAAAAGCCCTGGTTCTCTAATGTCCATTAGGGGAGTAAAACACACATCTGCAACTGGTCTGTAACCCCAGACCATAGAAATGCAAATGCCCAGAAGGTAGTTAGGAATTGGCAATACATGCTGGTCTCGCCATCCCATGAACAAATAAGAAACAAATAAATACGTTTATATGGCTGGTCCAACCAGTTTCTGGTCTCTGGTAATCCTCAGGATGTTGACCATGGGGGATTAAGTTATAGTAATGCCAATGAATTTTAAGGTGACAATGGTTGGATTCTTGCTTGTTGGAGATGGTGATTGTCTGGCACTCGTTTGGCGGGAATGTTACTTGCCACTTGTCAACTCAAATCTGGATATCATGGACTGCTTTAGTACTTAAGGAGTCACAAGTGGTACTGAAAATTGCACAATCGTTAGCAAATATCCCCATTTCTGATCTTATGATATCATTGATGTGGCAGTTGAAGATGGTTGGGCTAGGATACTATCTTGAGAACCACCTGCAATAATGTCCTGGGCTACGATGGTTGACTTCCAACAACTACACGCTCCGTACAATTGGTATTTTATGGCAAAATTGTATTAAATTAGCCATGCTTGAGCCAATTCTGAGAAATCCTTATATTATTCTCATTAACCCATACATTTAAAAATGTACACTTTTAATCAACATGCTTGGATATGTTATGACACGCCTGGACCTTAACCCAGACCTTCTGGCCTAGAGGTAGAGACACTACCATTGCAACACTAGACCGTTAGCTCAAAGTTTAAGTACTCACTAAGCATAACACTGATCCTCACCACTAGTTGCTCTCCTGCATTCAACATAATGCTACCTGCTCTCCATTTGTCAAGCATATCCATGTTCCTCCCATGTTTTGAAAAGGATGCTATATTTGACAACCTCCAAACATTCAATAGAATTCTGGGAACTTCCTGCGTGACACCTCTTCAAATTCATTATGAACCTATCAGGGTCTGATGACTCACTTTAAATAATTATATCTAGTATGTGGTTGCTCTACATTCCTTTAGGCTTGCATACCATATTACATACCTCTGTCCCTGCTTTATCCAGTACTCTACTGTACAACCACTCTCTAATTCTTGATTAATGGTGTAAGTTTGTACAGTGTTTTTCCCCTCACCCACATCATTCCCAAGGACTGTGATGGAATATATTACAATTGACTGGACACGTGCAGCACCAATAACACTCAAAGTTCAACACCATCCAAAATAAGCAGTCTGCTTGATTAACATCCCATGCACTACACTTAAAATTCTCTCCTTCTATCATCAGCACCGACGAACAACATGGTGTACCATCCATATGATGCGCTGTAGAAACTCACTAAGCCACCTTCAATAACAGCTATCAAACCTGCAACCTCTAACACAAGAGCAACAGGCAGACAGAAACACCCAGCACTGAGTTTTCACCAAAAGTCATGTTGCACCCTGACTTGGAACCAAGATCACCATTTCTTCACCATGACTGGTTCTACATCCTGGAAACCCCTTCCTCATAGGATAATGGGAGACCTACACAGTTTGAACTGCAGTGGTTCAAGGAAATGCACCACAACCTTCTCAAAAGGAAATTAAGGAACAGCAATAAATGCTTGTCTCTTCAGCACTAAATCGTTCATGGAATGACAGTAAAGAAAAAACAAATCTGCCTCAGCCGCAAGATCTGAAGCTGTTCCTGTTAAACATCACGAGAAGGGAGATCAGATGCAAGACAGCAGTAAGCCTACAGGCAGACTCTCTTTTCTCACACTATGATTGCTGTGATATAATAGCTAATCCAGCATTGGCGTTGATGTCAATTTTGTCCTTCTTGAAAACGAAGAAATTAGATTCAACTTGTGCATAGTAGACCATAGGAAATAGGAACAGGAGTAGGCCTCTCTCATATTTTGGGTGTTCAGACATCAATATATTTCTTCTTGTCAAGCTAGTTACTGCAGTGTAATACCTCCCGGACTGATAATCCCATCACCTAGAATGGTGAAAGCAGCAGCTTTATGATGAACCACCTTCTCCTCAGAGTTATACACACCACCCAGATGTAAACTCATGTCACTGTGAGTTAATTCTTGCAGGGTTAAAGTCTTGGAACTCCCTCACCTAACAGCACCATTGCAAACCCTTATCATTTGATCTCCAACAGGCCAACCAAGGGTTAGGAACAGACAATAAGTGTTGACCTCTCCAGCGATGCCCATTTTCCATTAATGAACATATTCAACAGGTACCTGAGAGCTCATTGAAGGAAACGAGACACCATCTTCTTTAAGTGCTTTAATGGTAGCAGCAATAAGACTGAGCTGGGGATCCTTTTGAAACTCCTCCACCCATTCCACCAACAATGCCTTCAGCTTTTCACATACTTTCGGATGAGCCTGGGTAGAAATAGCAAGATGCAGTTCATCATACAGAGTGGTTGATATATTTTTCGAAACAAAAATTAAGCTGTATAATCAAATTTCACTGACAATTTTAACAGTAGCTTCAGACGAAAAGGCTGCCTCCTGGTTTAGCCATAAACTCCGCAGAGTAAAGGCTCACGTCCAAAGCTCAGGGGATTGTTGGAGCATTGGTGGTGATATTTCAGGAATCTGGGAGGGTCCCAGAGGACTGGAAAATGGCTAATAGAACACTTTTGTTTAAAGGAGGGAGAGAGGCAGAATACAGGAAACTATAGGCCAGGTAGCCAGACCTCGACCATTGATAAGATTTGAGAGTCCATTATTAAGGATGAGATTACTTGAAAGTGCATGGTAAAACAGGATTGAGTCAGCATGGCTTCATCAAGGGGAGGTCTTGCCTGACAAATCTGTTAGAATTCTTTGAGGAGATAACGAGCAAGTTAGACAACGGAGAGCCAGCGGACTTGATCGATTTGCATTTCCAGAAGGCCTTTGACAAGGTGCTGCTAAATAAGACGAAAGCCCATGGTGTTAGGGACAAGGTACTGGCATATAGAGGATAGGCTGACTGACAAAAGGCAGAGAGTGTGACTAAACGGATCATTTTCAGGATGGTAGCTGGTGACTAGTGGAGTTCTGCAGGGGTCAGTGTTGGGACCACAACTATTCACATAGTCAATCCAGATCGTTAGTGTACAGAGGGCATTATTGCTAAGTTTGCAGATCACACAAAGATAGTTACAGGGACAGGTTAGTGTTCATGAAGTGTGGAGGGTGCAGGACTTGGACAGACTAGGAGAGTGGGCAAACAAGTGGCAGATGGAATATGGAACGTATGAGCCAGGAAGAATAGAGGCATAGATTATTTTCTAAATGAGGAAAGGCTTCAGAAATCTGAAAAACAGAAAGGTACCTGGGAGCCCTAGTTCAGGATTCTGTTAAGTTTATCATGCATTTGGCAGTTAGGAAGGTAAATGCAATGTTAGCATTCATTTCAAGGGGGCTAAAATACAACAGCAGAGATGTATAGCTAAGACTGTATAAGGCTCTGGTCAGACTTCATATGGAATTTTTGCATATTTGCAAAAATATGAAGTTTTGGGCCCTGTATCTAAAGGGCAGACATGCTGGCGTTGGAGGAAGTTCACAATCTTACGGATGAAAGGCTTGTCATATGAGCTGCAGTTCAGCACTGTGGGTTCAGTGGAGTTTAGAAGGATGAGGGGGATCTGATGAAAATTACAGAATACCGAGATGCCTGGATAGAGGGGACGTGGAGAGGACATTTCCAATATTAGGACAGATGAAGACCCAAGGGCCTAGCCTCAGATTGAAGGGATGACTCTTTAGAATTGAGATAAGGAATTTCTTCAGCTAGAGGGTAGTGAATCTGTGGAGCTTATTGCCACAGAGGGCTGTGGAAGTCAAGTCATTGAGTGTATTTAAGGCAGAAATAGATAGGTACTTGATTGATAAGGGGCCCAATGGTTACAGGGAGAAAGCAGGAGAATGGGTATCGGAAATATCAGCCACAACCAAATGGTGGAGCAGACTTGATGGGCTGAATGGCCTAATTCTACACTTGTATCTACTGTCTTATGGTTTGACAGGTTAAATGTTGAGATGATGCTTCCCCTCATGGGGGAGAAACTAGAACCAGAGGGCCTAGTCTCAGAAAAACAGTAAAGGAATTAAGGGTCGTGGTGGGCGGGTGGGTAAGTGGAGCGGAGTCCATGAGAAGATCAGCCATGATCTTACTGAATGGTACAGCAGGCTCAATGGGCCAAATGGCCTCCTCCTGCTCCTATTTTCTTTACATTCTTATATAAAAAGGGGTATCAATTTAAAACTGAGACAGGCAGAAATTTCTTCTCTCAGACAGTTGAGTGTCTTTGGAACTCACTGCCACAGAGGATCAGAGTCTGTGTGTGTATTTAAGGCTGAAATAGCTAACTAAGATTCTTGGGGAATCAAGGATTACAGGAAAAGGGCAGGAAAGCGAACATGAGAATGTTGGATCAGCTATGAATTGTAAACCAGGTTTGAGGGGCCCAACAACCCACTCCTATTCCTATTCCTAATTTTTTTGGTCTACTGTATACAGTTAAATCCAATTTTTTCCGCTTTGAGGGGGACAAAATTGACAGTGTGAGAAAAATAAATTAAACTCCAAAACGACTTCATTATTACAAGTGAGTTTTGCAAGAGAGGTGTATCAAATGTATCAGCTTACAGTAAACCCGACACAACCAGTTACTTGTGCATCTTTCCTCATCAACGTGCCTGAAAGTGGCCAGAAAACTAGCGAGAGTCAAGCAAAATCTCAACTGCTGCTGATGATAGGGTGCAGCTATTACAATAAATCTTGAATGGTTTGAATGAGGATTTTGGCAAAATGAAACAAGAGTTCCAAGAAATTTTGTCCTGGTACCCTGGATTACTGATACAATCATTGCTTCAAATTTCTAGCATGTGATGCAGATACATCATTATTATGGCCTGAGTTCTCAGGAAGATCCAGGGAATTATGACTATTATTCTTAGACTTCTTGTGCGAAAAAGCATATGACACCTTGATTTATCAGGCAAGGAACAGAAAAGTAACAGCAACACTCGCATTAGAAACTCATCCAAGTCAATATTCAGAGATTACAAGAAAGTCAGATAACATACCTTATTATATACACTTAATAAATTTCCAACTTCACTTGTAAAATCACGCGAACATATTTCTAGGTGGAAAATCCTCCCACAGTTCGAGACACAGGCACCTAGTAACTGTAAAATGAAAGCACAAGGTGATCAGCAAGCTATGAAATGGTGGAAGAGGATTTACAAAGAACATTAGAACCACAAGTCAATAAGTGTCAATTAATTGGAACGCTGAATAAGAATAAAACACAGCCAGAGGACTATACAGACGGCTATGCTGCTGTCATATTGTTTTAGAATTTTTTTTAAAAATTCATTCTTTTACATTTGTTCATGGGAGAGATTGGTAAGTGTGTGGAATGAACTGCCAGAGGAAGTTGGTGGATGTGGATGCGATGCAGTTACAACATTTAAGGGTCTAGGCCCGAAACATCAGCCTTTCTGCTCCTATGATGCTGCTTGACCTGCTGTGTTCATCCAGCTCTGCACCTTGTTGTCTCGGATTCTCCAGCATCTGCAGTTCCTACTATCTCACATTTAAAGCATATTTGGATAAGTACATGAGTAGGAAATGTTTGCAGGGATATGGGGCAGGAGCAGGCAGGTGGGACTAGTTTGGTTTGGCATTATGGTCGGCATGTATCGATTGGACCAAAGGGTCTGTTTCCGTGCTGTATGACTCTACGAGGGCGTCACTGGGTAGGTCAGCATTTATTGCCCATCCCTAATTGCCCACAGGGCAGTTAAGAGTCAACAACATTGCTGTGGGTCTGGAGTCACATGTAGGCCAGACCAGGTAAGGACAGTAATGTGCTTTGGGGAAGGAAACTAGTGAACCAGATGGGTTTTTCTGACATTCAAAAATAGTTTCATGGTCATCATTAGATTCTTAATTCCAGATTTTTTAAAAATTGAATTCAAATTACACTATCTGCCAGGATTCGAACCCTGGTCTCCAAAAACATTATCTTGGTCTCTGGCTTAACTGTCTAGCGATAATATCACTCGGCCATCACCTCCCATGTTCATGTTTTACCATTTCCTCACAAGATATACTTGACAAGTAGGGAGGTGTGCCAGAAATAAGAATTTCCAACTTTCCATTCTAAACACAGACAATGGATTACTCCTTCACAAACCTGGATGTCCACCACAGTGAGAATCGTGATTACATGGTTGAAAAGAGGCCATGTCTTATATCTTTTTTTATTTAGTTTCTAGTTGGGTTTGGAGAAGATACTGGTGGGTCAGGGATTGATTACTAATCTTTCTGACAGTACCAGTGTCTTAATATGAGTGCAGACATTACTGCCGAGATTACTGAGTTGGTAAGCTTAAAATGGAGTTGGATAGAGGACGCTAGCTGTGGTGAACATTCCTGAGTTAAACCATCACTGCACCATTGCCCAATGGCTCTGATGTGCTCACATGCATGCTCCCAGAGGGGAATTCATAGGTGTGCTCCTCATCCTTAGCCTGACTTTCACAATGTCCTGCTTGATTGGCACCATATCCACAAGCATCTGCTCCCTCCACTACCTCAGTAACAACGTGCATCATCTACAAGATGAACTGCAGAAATTCACCAAAGATCCTTAGACAGCACCTTCCAAACTCACAACCACTTCCATCTGGAAGGACAAGGGCAGCAGATACATGGGAACACCACCACCTGCAAGTTCTCCTCCAAGCCGCTCACCATCCTGACTTGGAAATATACTGCCCTTCCTCCATTGTCACTAGGTCAAAATCCTGGAATTCCATCCTTAACAGCATTGTGGGTCAACTCACAGCAAGTGGACTACAGCAGTTCAATAAGGCTGCTCACCTCCACCATATCAAGGGCAACTAGGCGGGCAATAAATGATGGCCAGCAAATTAATAGAATTTAGGAAAGTAGGGAAACTCCTGGTCAGTACAGTTGCGTAACATTTCTGCACACAGTCACATACTTTGAGAAGGAGAAAATTTCACCTTGAACTCCCCAGGAGGAAAGAAAGAGTTGGCGCTGCACTGGTTTCACTCACCGTTAAGGCCTTCATCGCCACATGAGGATTTTTGTGATTTACCCTCTTCATAATAGCCTTCAGACAATCTTTTGGCCTGACGTTAAAACAATGGAGAAAATTACTTGTGTTGAAATGAAAACAAAACCCCTATCAAAGATGATGCATGCAAAAATGTACATTCAATATACTAAAAGCCACAGCCCGGCTCTTTCAATTCATTGCGAGTACGAAACAAATCATAAAGGTGCTTTGCACTTCCTAGATGCAAAAAGGCAGGTTCCAGTCTCCAGCATACTCAGGACAAACAACAATCAAACTGAGTGACCTTCCATCTAAAGCATCTTAAATTACAACGAAACCCTTAAGAATGCCAGCTGGATCCAGAAAACGACAAACTGGATAATACGAAGGCAAAGCAATTCTCCATCACAGCATTAAATGAGCACACAGGAGCATGGAAGTGCACTTTAGCAGGATTGTTGTTACGTGGCTCCTGCCCATATGAAATAATGCATCCTCGGACTGTCAGCAAAATTATGCATGGACGCAGATAGAAATAACAGCACAAGTTTTGACAGAGTCTCACTAAAAACATTACCTTGCTTCACTGTTTTCAATATTTCTACTCTTTAGTTAATATTTTCACATTCTCAGACATTTTTAGTTTTCCAATTTTGCTAAATAAAATTCATGTCGATAAATTTTGTATGAGCTTTGTAAGTACTACAACATTGAGACAGTCACTAACATTACACTCAAAATCATCGCAATGATGCACAGGAACAACGAAGCCTTCACACTGGGTAATCAAACTCTGATGCCTGGAAACCAGCCAACTTTTTTTTAAAAAAAAAATCAGCTATGGTTCTGCTCCAGCTCCCCATAATTTTAAAAGTGAAGTTTCACCATCATTAAGTGAAATTAAATAAATCAGAATAAATGATCATACATGATTGGTGTGTAACTAGTTATCTTGCAATGCCTTTTCAAAGTTAGCAATATTTGCATATGACATCCATCAAAATGACAAATGCAAAGTGGCTTGCTGGGGGGGGATCAGGAGGGAGAATAATGACCAATTTCCCTCCTCTCATTCCAAGGGGTGAGGAAACTGGAAGGGTTAGAGAAAATAAGTAAAACATATTTTCCATCCTTACCCATTTGGTGTAGTCCCAACACGGTCACAGATATCCATGATAAGAGTCCAGTCTTCACTGGTGTTATGTTCATTTGTGGCCTTTTCTGAAAAAGAGAAACGTTAATAATAATTCAGCTGAATCACAGAATTGCTACGATGCAAGACGGCGACATTAGACTGATTGTGTCTGCAATGGCTCTCTGAGCATTTTAACTTAGTCTTGCATTTTCCCTGCAACCCTACTCACTGGATGATTGTTTAAATAAAAACAATGCCTTCTTGAATGCCGCCACCATACTTGCAGGCACTGCATTCAATACCCTAACCACTTGGTGCATGAAAACATTTTTCTCTCACCTTACATTTGCTTCTTTTCCAAAATGCTCTAAAAGAACACAAGAAGCAAGAGTAGGTGATTCAAGCCTGTGCTGCTATTCTGTAAAATTAAAGCTGATCTGCTCTAGGATTCAACTCCTGTTTTGTACCAGCTTATCATAGTCCTCAACTTGCCAAAATTTCAAAAGTCTACCTAACTCCTCTTTAACTACTTATTGTGATCACAATGTCCACAATGCTCCGCAGTAGAGAATTCCAGACATTTACTTCCCTCTGGGAGGAGGCATTTGTTCGATCTCAGTTTTAATCGAGAGTTCCTTCACTCTGTAACTATATCGTTTATAGGATTCCTCAATATCTATCCTGTCAAGCTGCCTCAAGATCTTCTATGTTAGAATAAGATCACCCTCATTCTCCTAAACTTTAATGAATGAGGGCCTAACCTGCTTAGCTGTAATTGACAAATCAACCCATTTATCCTTTTTTTTTAAATGCAGGGGTCAAAATTATACACAGTACTACAACTGAAGCCTCAATGTCCCCCTACAATTGTAACAAGGCTTCTCTATTTTTAAAACTTTACTCCACTAGCATTAAAGGCCAAAATTCAATTTACCTAATTACTTGCTGCACCAGCATGATGTCATTTTGTGATTCATACACAAGTAAACCCAGATCCTTTTGTGCTCCAATTTTTTGAAGTCTCTATTTAAATAATAGTCTGCCTTTTGATTCTTCCTACCAAAGTGCATAACCACACAATTTCCTATTTTAAACTCCATTTGCCAAGTTTTTGCCCACTCATTCAATCTTTAGCCCTTTCAGATTCCTTAGGTCCTCATCAAAACACACCCTCCCACATATTTGTGCATCATCAGCAAATTTGGATGTCTTACACTGTCCCCTCCCCCAGCCATTAATATATAGTAAATAATTGAGGATTAAGGACTGATCTATGTAGCACTCCATGAGTTCTCTCTTTCTAATTTGAAAATGACCCATTAATCTTGACTGTCTTCTGTGTGTTAATTAATCCTTAAAGCATGCTAATACATTACCCGTAATTTTGTGTGATCATATCTTTGGCACCTACCAAATGCCTTCTGGAAATCCAAATACACTTGATCTACCAGTCCTCTTTAACTAACTCTTTCTCGTTATTTCCTCAAAGTACTTGAGCAAATTTTGCAAACATGACTTCCTTTTCACAAAACCACTGTGCTTATTAGGTTGCATTAGATTTGCTCTGTTAAGCTCTTCTCAGTGTCCTGCTCTTTCTTCCGTAATAATGAACTCTAGTATTTTCTCAATAAAGATGTTAGGCTAACTGAACATATTCTCCTGCCTTTTCTTTCTTGAACGGGTGTCACATAAGTGGTTTTCACATCTGCTGGAACCCTCCCAAAATCCAGCCAGTTCTGGAATATTCTGACCAATGCTTTCATAATCTCTGCAGCTACTTCCTTTAAATCTCTTGGATGCAGGCCATCAGGTCCTGGTGACCTGTCTCCCTTCAGTCCTGTTTGTCTGTTGTGATCCTTTTATAAGCAGTACTAATTTCTTCCAATCTAAGCTATTCAGATCCCTCATAGTTTTGAAAACTTTTACCAGACTATTCTTTGCCTTCTCTTCATTAAGGAAAACAGTCCTAACTTCTCCAATCCTTCCTCAAGTGAAGTAACTCATCTCTGGAACCATTCTCAAAGGTTCTTTCACACACTCTCCAATGCATTCACATCACAGGAGGTGATCGCACAGCTGGATTATCACTAAAGTATTAATCCAGAGACACAGGTCATGTTCTGGTGACCTGGGTTTAAATCCTGCCATGGCAGATGTTAGAATTTGAATATAATGATGAAGGAAAGATCTAGAATTGAGAGTCTAATGATTACCAGGGAATTGCTGCCGATTGTTTGGTTCACTATTAAATAAAAACCGAAAGAACTGCAATGCTGTAAATCAGGAACAAAAACAGAGGAAGGGCCACCAGACCCGAAACGTTAACTCTGATTTTTTTTTCTTCACAGATGCTGCCAGACCGGCTGAGCTTTTCCATCAACTTCTGTTTTTGTTCCACTTGGTTCACTAATGTTCTTTAGGGAAGGAAATTCACTGTCTTTACCTGGTCTAACCCATAAGTGCCTCCAAGCCCACAGAAATATGGTTGATGCTCAACTCTCCTCTGCACAATTTGGGATGGCAATAAATGTTGGCCTACTCAGTGATGTCCAATTCCCATAGATGAATAAAACGTCCTTCCTATAAGCATGGTACCCAAGGCTATATACAATACTCCAACTAACATTCAACCAGTGAAAGCAAAATACTGCAGATAATGGAAAATCTGAAACAAACACAATGTTGGAGAAACTCAGCAGATCTGGCAGCATCTATAGAGATAGACAGAGTTATAGCTTGAAGTCTGGTATGATTTCTTTAGAACAGTTCTGAAGAAGTTATAACAGACTTGAAACTTAACTTTGTTTCTCTCTTCAAAGATGTTGCCCAATCTGCCGAGTTCCTCCAACATTATATTTGACATGTAACCAACGTTCTAGGTTCATGATAATCTCCCTGCCCTTATTCTTTCTGCTTCTACTTTCAAAGACCTACATGCTTTAATGGCTTTCAAACTATCCTGCCACTTTTCATGACCGAAGAGGCGATGGCATGGTGGTACGGGAAGGCTATGGCCTAGTGGTATTATAGCTGTTAATCTAGAGACCCAGGTAACATTCAGGGTACTTGGGTTTGAATTCCACCAGGGCAGATGGTGGAATGTGAATTCAATAAATATCTGGAATTAAGAGACTAATAATGACCATCAATCCAGTGTCAATTGTCAGAAAAACCCATCTGGCTCACTAACGCCCTTTAGGGAAGGAAACTGCCATCCTTACCTGGTCTGGCCTACATGTGACTCCAGACCCACAGCAATGTGGTTGACTGTTAACTGTCCCCGTGCAATTAAGGATAGGGAATAAATGCTGGCCTAGCCAGCAACGCCCTCATCCTGTGAATGAATAAGAAAACAGATGCAACCTTGGGTCTCTACTCCTGCACACCTTGTAGAATAGTACCAGTTTTTTTTTTTAAAAAACAGACTCCGTACTTTTTTTTGTCCCAAAGTGCATCACCTCACACTTCTCAGTGTTGAGTTTTATCTACCACCTGACTGCCCACTCCACCAACATCCTTCTGAGGTTCTGCACTGTCCTCCTCACAGTTCATTATTCTACGAAGTTTTGTGTCATCGAAAAAATTTCAAATCATATCCTCTACATCAAGATCTTGACCGTTCTGTTCATATGGAAAGCAAGGCTCCTGATACCAACTCCTGAGGAACACGCTACAAACCTTCTACCAGCCCAAGAAATACCCAGTAACTATTCTTCACAGGTTCCTACTCCTCATCCAATTGCGTATTTAATAACAGAACACATTTTTTTGATGGGGAAGAAATATTTTTGTCCAAAATATAGTGCTGGCCGAGAACGAAAACCTTTTTTTGGTGCAGCATCGCTGGTCAGTTAAACAAACAGGGAAAAAATGCAGGAGGATGATCATTTTAACGCTATTCCAACAATGTCCTGCACCTCCCAGATGTTTTCTCCAGCCTCTGCACTCTATTTCCAACATTGCACCCATGGTGAATGGCAGTATGAGTCTATTCATTCATGGTTGAAAACAACAACGTGCTTTCTAAAAATTCTGTCACAGAATGTGAGTGTCACTGGCAGTACCAGTATTTGTTGGCCATCTCTAATAACGTCTCAACTGAGTGGCTTGTCAGACCATTTCTGAGGGCGATTAAGAGTCAACCACCTTGCTGTGGGTCGAGAGCCACACTGGGTAAGGACAGGCAGTTTCCTTCCCTAAAAAGGATAGCCGCGAACCAGATGGATTTTTTCAATTATGAATGATATTTTCATGGT